ACTAGCAACGCTCGCTTCATCACCCCGTCGGCTCTCCGTATTTCCCTCGAAGAACGCTTTCAGACGCGTAAAATAGGAGGTTCACTTATCTGTGGTTTCGTTAAACTGAGGAACCACGAAGGCCATCGTGTGTGGGGTGCGGGGTGAGATGACCGGTTTAAGGCGTTGTGTTCGGTCTTCTCGTCGCCAATGAAGCCAACGCTGAAGAAAAAAGCAATGGACAGCGTGTCTGGTTGCCGACAGACTAAACGTTTATTCGACGCTGCCGATTGCTTTTATCGGTCGAAGATCTTGATTAATCGGTCGCGGAAAGTTTATAGAAAAACAAAACTACTTCCGTCAGCCTCGTGAGCCGCAGTGCAGCCGCTGCATGTGCAGCGTCACTCGCACCCCAAAGGAAGCGTACGGCGTGGTGCCGGCCAATGAGCTCGCGAGTTAATCACCGGAAATAGCTCGAGGATTGGCTTGACTAGCTTTGCGACCTGCCGGCTCGCTTGATTCAACGGCCGAAACGGGTGCTCGCTTGTCGCGTTCGCCGGTTTATCGGCGAACTATACGAAATCGCTATATCTATTTCGAACGAGTGAAAAACAATAGAAAGAGAAGAAAAGACCGTCCATGTGGCGGGCGGTATGAAAAAATATTAAAAAGGAAGGTTTTCGAGCAGAGACCTCGGCCGTCCTTTTGCCGGGGCTTGTTAGCAACCTTGCGATGTCAAGGTATGTACTTTTTCGAGACAAGCGGTAGCAAATTGGGCTTTCGTTGCTGATTAACATATAGTTATTTCTGTCCCCTTGAGTATAAAGCGATAGTGTAGCAGCCGATTTACATTTTGCCTCGTTTCATGAAAAACGGGAGTCGGGCCGAGTCGCGCTTTTCTGCACCAAACGCCGAGTGGACGCCGACAAAACGCGCCGTTTGTGGTTTGTCGACTAACCCCTCTTTCCTCTGTGAAAAAAGCGCCCGCCAAATGCCGTGATTATGGCCGCTGAAACGCGCGTAAATTCGTCGAGAATACGCCCTATGGGGGTCGGCCTTCAGAGCTGCGCTGTAAAAGCAGTCGGCCCGTAGCAGACGACGCAACACGCTTTCTGCGTAGAGGCCTGTTGAGGCAACGCGTCGTGCGTCTACGCAGAAAGCGTGTTGCGTCAAAATGGCGGTCGTTTCCTCTTTGCTCCTCCCTTCCTTTCTCGCTCCTTCAGCGCTCTTCCGCCTTTTCTTCACTTTTCTCTTTTCTAGCGCCCTCATCGCCGCACCAACACCTCCTAGAAGAGAAGGCCGTACCGCTCTTCTCGTGACGTCACGAAGGAAGGCCATCGGGGGCGCGCGTCGAAGCGAAGGCAACGCGAGTGGATCGGCCGTCGTAACACGTTTTTAGTCACACACGCGCGTCTTATTACCTAAAATGAAAGCTGCACATAGCAACGGGTCTAAGAAACACTTTATTACACGGATAAAATATTACACCGCTAAATAATTGGTATGAAATGGTACGAGGTAGGCGTAAAAGAGAAAACATTGAGTCACGCAATTTTTGCTGTAGGAATGCATATTTTACACAGAAATACTTAGACAAGATGGCGAGACACGCACTGATTGGAGACAGCAAAACAGATCACAGGTAAAAATCAGGTAGACGTAGTCAAAGCGGACACGGCTAGACAAGTGTTTCTCACGGTCATGTAAGCGATGTTATCGCGTGCAGTCACTGAGTTCTTGCATCATACCCTGGCCACATGGCAAAAGTAATAGAATTTCGACCGAATGACATTACGGGGTCGACAAATCAGCTTGCGACTCTCGTATAATCACTCAAGACTGCGAGCTGATTAAGTCCCATATCGATAAATGAAAATGTATTGACTTTTTCGTGTGGCAGGGCTACTAAACTTACTATTTAGAGTCAAATAATTTACTTCTCCCTATGGGCTCGAACTGCCTTAGAAAAAATATCTTATTTTGTATACAAAATACTATTACCTTAATACAGTTAAGATTCTAGTATAAAAGCGGTAAAGGCAATAAAATAACAGTATAAATAAACACATAAGCACAAAGAACGCACTTCGTATAATCACTCAAACTTGTTATTCACCTTCCAGTGAAAACTAGAATATTACCACGCATATTTATGTCGACGCAATTGCAAACTAATAACGACGAATAAGATGCCCTTCTATCACAAAAAAAAAACGAAACAAAAAAAAACAAACAACCCGACTGCTGCACTTTACTCGCGTCCCACACGACCAAGAAAGCCCATAAATAAGTTGTTTCTCACCTGTCGACCGTATCCATGCGTCCCACAATATCCGTGACAAAAACATCTGAACACGAACTTTAAGTCTCTCTCTGTCGAAAGAGAGGTCTATCGATAATCGACCAGTGTCATCGTTGGCTAGTTGCCACACATGTCACTCAAACCGTAGCAGGTCTTGTTCCGCGAATCCACGTAAATGCCGTTGTATCAAGCGAACACAAGAAGACTACCCGGGACTGTGCTGACGACCAAGAAACGACGGGAAGGGTCAAAAGAACCACGCACACATACACGCGAGAGCGGCGGCAGCAGGTGGGAGGCTTAACGTCGTCAACCCTCTCTTGCTCACGTGCACTTCCTGCGGTGATGACAGGATTTTTTTTCGGTTCCCTTCCCTTCTGAAAGTCTCAGCGTTCCTTTTCAGACAGTCAGCAGCTCACACACAACGTAAATTTACCAGAATCGGAGCCCGTACGAGGGAAGAAAACGTCGAAGCGGACCGGTTCCTTCGAAAAGTGTGGGGATTTGCGGGATTGCACGTAGTCCCGCGGTTACCGGGATAATCATAAATATGAAATTGGTACTTTCAACCTTGGTAGCGCGTTGTATATTATGTTTATATTATATATATATAATAAATTGTACAATACTGCGCTTTTAAAACATATATTAATGTTGGGTAAACGCTCACGAACACCCCGCGCCGCTCGACAAGGAACGCTTTTTTCACGTCCGATGCCAGAAACTTCTTCTCACTTAGGTGCGCTATGGACTTCCCTCTCCGACATTGTGACGTAACCACTCGGAGCGCTACGGACTTCTCTTCTAAGGGGTGTTGGCTACACCCAGTGGCCAGAATTGCGTGTCTCGTTTTTACGTGCCACCGCACCGCTATTCACCGAGATCCCATAACGTAAAGAGCAAAATCCAAGTGCGGTACAGGAAAGCAACCGATACGGCCACTTCGCAGACGTTGCACGCGCCCGTCGTTTGTTTCCTCTGATTTTGCCTCCTCCTCCTTTCCTGTTCTTCAGAAAAGAAGGAGAGGAATCGCAAATCGCCAAATTCAGTCACGTAACGACCAGAACCCCGGGCCGTGCAGGAAAGCCGGCGCTATGGGGATGAGCGCGCAACTCTAGCTCCCAGGGAGTCTATACAGAAACTCTAGATGAGGGGACAGACTGGCTCGATTTGTTGGGCAATCCTGGAAACCGATCAACAGGCCACACGGAGAGCCAAGTGACGTAGACCGAATAAAATATTCCTTGCTAAATGTGTAGAGATTTCTGCCTAAAATGCTATCTTTATGCCGTGATAATAAGCATGTCATTTCTGGACCGTTATATGTGGTGCTGAGATTGCATGTTTTGAAAAAAAGCTTTTTCTTGGCTTTGTGATTTGATGGTCGTCTCTCTTGATCGCAAAGAGCGCTTCTCCGCGTCCTTTTGGTGAATCGAAACTTCTAGGCACGCTTTACGGACTAGGCGAAAGCACAATCGAAAATTATAGTTATTCTCTAATTGCTCTTGGTCTGTCTAAGGGATGGTTTTCAAACGTTTTGGTAAAGGAACCGGATCGGGGATCTGTCGGTATCTCGGGGGCCGTAAATAAACAATAAATATTTAATACGTATTCCTAGATAAGAATCTCAATAAAACATTAATTCTTAGCATAAAATAAAAAAAACATACAATCTAAGGCGTATTAATAGTTATACTGTATCTTTAAATTCAATATCTTGTAATATTACATTAAGCAATAATTGAAACTCTGAAAACTCACCAGATATAAATCAAACCGAATAAGAACTTTAGCATATTTACACGGGGTAGAATATGATGAGAATTACAGAACTGATGCTGACAATATGCAATTAACGGAACGCAGGACACTAAACCGAAGAAAAATTGTAACGCAGCAAAGAAACTTTAACCTACGTAGTCGCATAGATATAAAGCAGGGGGCTAATAATGGTAAAGTTGTTGATGACATGTTTAAAAAATATTATGACGTAAGGACAAGCATTACGATAGACAACTGTCTCTCATCCTTAGTGCGTATCTTCGTTCAGGTGGTTGGTGCTCGTTTCAGCGCCGTTTTTTGGGCGCGCTTGTTTTTGCGCCGGTAGAAGCCGACCTGCTGGAAGCGGGCCATTGGTCGGACTTGACTGGAAGGACCGACGCCAGATAAGAGCCGGTCAGAAGACCTCCGCGGTCTGGATCTGGTCTGCGGGCCGGGGTTTGGAGACCCCTGGTATAACGGAATAACGAGTTATGATGATGCTGGCGAGTTAGGTTCGATGTTCTAGTTTTTTTAGTGACACCTTGTTGCATATAAATGTTTATTTTTATTGAGTACCTACATCAAATATCCAGCCACTGAGCTTGCCAAGTTGGTAAAAATCATGAGAGCAAGCTAACGATATTTATTTTAGTATGAATACAGAACTAAAACAGCGCAAAGACGAAGAAGGGACGAGAGGTACACGAGCTGAAGCGTTGACTGAACTTTTTTTCTTTATTACAGTGACAAAAAAATAAAACAGCCGCGATGTAATTCTAACAAAAAAAAAATCAGTTGTCAGTTAGCACTTTGTGTTTAACTCGTCCTTCGTCCGCCTTCGTGCAGTCTTTGGTTTCCTAATGCATATCTACTAATGTGTTAACTAATCAGTCATAATCAGTTATCTATATGCCTAAAATTTTTTAAAACTTCAGTTTAACCATTTCTTTTTGTCAAGGTGAATAAAAAGAGCTTCCAGCAAGACATACCATTCATTGAAATATATTATGAGCTTCATAAGAACGAAGAATTGAACGTTTTGAAAATGTTGCGTAAGAGGGAATCTAAGTACGAGTAAGTGGCTCGTTTAAACAATTATTTTTAATGGCACAAATGAAAATGATGCGTTTTGTCACGTACCTGTATTTTACAAGTAATATATATATATATATACATATATATACATTGAAATGAGCTCCTTTGTCAATGGGGCGAAGGAATGTATTTATCCAGGGTTATTACTTTATTGTTATGTAATAATTATTTTATCTTTGATTACGGGATGGTCGCGAAGGAAGCTTTCGCTTCAATAAGATTAAGTAAATACTGGAAAAAAACTATCTAAGAAATATATAAAACTATGTTATTCATATCTTAAATTTGTATTTCCATTTGTTTACTTAAAGAGAAAAGTAACGGATGCAGAATCCCACAGGTGCTAGTGGTAGCAGAAATACATAAATATAAGCGCTTGGCATAAAATTAGTATGTTAAAACACTTCTTAAAATATATAAAAAAACACAAACTTAGGCATGCGTGATATAAAATAAATCATGAACGCACGAACCGATTTAAGTTACCAACAATATTCACGATACTTGAATTTTACCGAGAAGTTAAAAACTTCACATCCTTCAAATTGTCTTGAATTTTACCTGACAGTGTCGTAACCTTATAAGGTTCAGGAATGAATGCGCACTGGTGACGTAATAGTTTTAATAATGAAGCCATTAAATTTGTGTCGTAGTATGAAGGAATGCACATGAACAAACACAATTTCACTCTCTCACACTCGCTTGTTGCAACGTCAGTAATGTTTTAGTTAATAAGTAGTTTCTAGTAGGACTGACCCTAATTAGTAATAAAATTCTCGAACTCGAATTGTTGCAGGTACCGCTTGGACAACAGAACGAGAAATTGCAAATAGGTTTTTTGTTAAATAGTTTAAAATAAAATTATTAAGGTCTTGCATATTACACACACAAATTAAACCCGAGATTAAGATACAATAGTAAGGGTGCAGGCGAGCTGGTGGATGTTAACCATGTTGAATATACCTGAGACTGGGGTAGAAAAAAACATAAAAGTCGAAGAAACAGAACGGGACAGGACGTCGTTGAGATGTCGTCCTGTCCCGTTCTGTTTCTTCGACTTTTATGTTTTGTTTCGAGATTAAGATTCACCTCAGACGGAGCACTTTCCCAGCAATTTCTGCGTTGTTGGCGAGTTTTTCCCTAGTTTTCCTTACATCATAGCGCTGCGACACGAATTGCTCTGGTGGCGTCCGGTTAAAAACGTACGAGAAACTCGGACCACTTGGTGACGTTTGAGGCGACAGCAGCCAATCAGGGATGTCATAGTTCATGTGGCACCCCATGGCGGTTATGATGATAACTAAAGACCTGGTTCTGCTCTTAAATTTATCGTTTTTAGGAATAAACCGTCTGAGAAAGATGAGTTTTTAGTTTTAAATTAAATATATAAAAACACATTTATAGCGCGTAACTGTATGTCTAAATAGTGCAAGAAAATGTAATTTTATGACAATTATGACAATTTGTAGCAGTTCGAGTGCTGCGTGCGAACGCGGGCGGCCCCTGTTGGTGGTGCTGCGGCGTCGAGTTGCTGGAAAAAGTCGCCCCGCCTGAAGCGGGTGTTAAACCAAAAAATAAAGCCTCTTATTCAAAGGTTAAATACGATTAGAATACACCAGATCACCTCGGTTTTTATATATTTTCTATGTAACTTACATATTATATAGACTCTAGCTTTAGTTATAGAATATTAGTGTTTCCATATAAGCAAAATTTGTGTTAATCACGTCTACCGTTTTGCTTTATTTCGGGTTTGACTGGGACCTGTGACACGCGTAGAAATTGCAGTTATGAAAGATGAACTGTGCTTAATATTAACAAATTGCTCTTTATTCCGAATTCTATTTGCAGCTTTAATACTAGTACGCGTAGTGAGTGAAATTAACATGAGAATTAATGAATATATGGCTACGAGCTCATTTTGATTGTCAGAGCGACGGATCATAATGCATAGTTATCACATTGTGTACTACGAGGCTAGAGTTCGAATAGGTACAGATTATTCCCGTGAATAATTTGCTTGACTGCCAAAAAGATTGAATGGGCTGCAGCTTGTGTGTTCAGAGTTCAGTGTGGATAAAAACAAATTAGGACGGCTTCCATGTTGAGCTTGAAGATTGAAGATCCTTCCCTCCCACCAACTACTTAAAAAAAAATTTCCTTTCTAAAGTCCCTGCGTACAACTTGTTATAGGCGGGTACGGAGGGTGGCCGCCGAACTCCTTTAGTTGCTAGGGTTTTACCAGAAGAAATCATTTGGGAAAAAAAAAATGCTGGAAGTCTCATTCTGAAGTGCTGTTAATTTCAATTCTAAGACAGGGTGTTTTATCAAAGTTACGTATACGGCGCAGTACGGATAAAATATATGTGGCTTCATATGACACAATGATAAACTAATGTAAATGCTTTACACAATTTGCGATAAGTTTAGCGCCCGAAGGGTTTGGTCAGTCATATGAAAGCACTAAAATATAGGTATCTTCTTTACAAATGTAGCTGTCATTCTCGCCAAATAGCGTCACTTCGTCAAATACTCATCTGCCTACTTTAAATAAAAGATAGTATTTTTCTTTACAGTTATCGTTTTGGACCTTTCTTGACCCATGGTTACTACGACGGCCACAGAAACACATTACGTATGAAACCTTCACTTTGTGCCCTAGCGTATTATGCTTAATTTCCCGCCATGTTTAAGGTGCCGTGCTGCATGAGTATTAACGCTTTGCTTTCCACTTCAGTATTTCAAGCAGCTGCGCTTCAAGGGCGGCTCTCTGAAGAAAGTATACCAAAGTAATGCATACATTTACTTTCATAGCTTGGGGCAACGAGAAACGTTTTGCAACTTTCTGCTACAGCAATGTGTTTGCTTAAGTCTGTATTAGGACGTGAATTTATATTAGTCTGTCTTGTCACACTGTTAGACACAACAATATTAAGCCCCTTAAAAAGCTCACGCTCCTTTGACAACGTTGCTTCTGGGATTTCAAGCGAATGTCAAGTAATTGTATATACTTGGTAAACATATGTATATATTATTTGTTTTACACTTACAAACCGGGGGGGGGGGGGGGGGGAGGGGGGGGGGGCAGGATGTGGACTTGCAATTGGACGGAAGACTGCTTAAAGTATAAACGCAAAATTATATTCAATACCTCGCGTGAAACCAATATCGCTACAATGCTTCATAGCCGCAATATGCCAGAATAAGCTGAAACACTAAGCTGGAAGCAGATATAAGAAATGTAATTTTTATATGATATATCATTTTCTAATTTGATACCAGTGACATATCTTAAAATTATGATGACATGCTAAAAATATGTGAACTAAATGTTATTTCCACATTATACTTTTCAGATCATACATATATGGAGGACTTGGAGCTACATTAGCATTCCATCTTGCCCGGACTGCAGAGGCGACATGTAAGAATTTATTTATATAAATTTTTTCGTAGCAACCGAAAAAATGCACACTAGCAAAAAATCTGCTATTGTCACAATAATGGACCTCACACTATACATCGTTACAAGAAATAATATTGAGATGCTGATGCTTTTAACACATGATCTAAACTTACTATACGTTTGCGTGCCATAATGTTATAGGCCAATTTTGGACAGAATCCCTGAGGGGTGGAGTTTTAAAATATGACAAAATTATTAAACTATAAAATAATTTATCGTACGAAATGAACAGTATAAAACGCAATAGTGTCTTTAAATGTTGCTGTTTCTGTGAGTTTAAGCCTTGTCAGTGTGATCAATAAACATAGCTAGTTTATTAAAAAAAAACGCCAACTGAATCCTATACCATTGAAATAAAGGAATAATGTTTGGTTTTATTTATGTCAGTTATTGGTGAACATTTTGCGAGCAAAAAATAGGTCAAAAAGGCTGGTAGGGATTAAAATATTAAGTTTTCTCAATGACTACGAAATTTAAGCATGGAAACTTCTGAAAGGGAGAAACAGAATAGTTCTGGTTAAGGTTGACGATTTTTTTTTCGAGAATTAGTGTGAGTGTTTTAGAATAATACAATGCACAACCGCATTTTCTGCAAATAAGTGATAAGTAGAAGAGATCGAATAAAAGAAGGAGAAAAAGAAAGAGAGGGAAGAAGAGAGAAAGATAGAGAGAGAGGCAGAGAAGCTCCATGGTGACAAATAATTCTTTCGCCGCATAACCCAGCTACATGTTTGGAACGTGCATGAAAATGATTGTGCTCCAGTGATCGCAGAGTGAAAGATGAAATTAGAGAAGCTACAGTCGACCAGATAAATATGTCTATCATATCATAAATTGTTTACACAACGTAGCCATAACGTGTTTAATAAAATCGCATATCTTTTTAATTTTATATCGTATGTAGTGGCCGGGTAATATTTAAAGTGGCTGCCCTAATTCCAAGGTAACTTTTGTCTAGATTATTGGGCTCGCTTTTTTTAAGCCCGGATACCAGATGCTGCCAACACTCGAAACCGCGAGGAAGCTAGCCGGAATTTATACTTCTATATTGAATTAAATTTACCAAATGTTTCTCGGAGCAAAACCTGTTTGTGATTCGAGCTTTTTGGGCATTAACTTTCTTTAAATAAAGTAAGTGTTTAGATTGTAAATTATATTCAAACGATAAAAATTAAATAAGCAATCATTTTAAATTGACACTCAGAACCAGAAAGAATAGCAAAAAAGGGGTTTGACAAAAGGCAATGAAAAAGAAGAAATTTTTATACCGTTGAAAGTTAAGAATTTATATAAAAATATGCAAATTCCACAATTTTTTAAGCACTGCACAAAGGTTAACGTTCGCTGGGGTGCACGACTAAAAATAACTGCTGAAAGAAATGTACTCATTTTCAGATTGGGATGGAAATGGGACGTCTGTTACAGGAGCACGATTTATTTCGGATGGAAAATCAATGGACTCACAGTGTCGTTACGGAAACACAAAACCTGTAAGAGTTATGATTTTTTTTAAACAGTCACCTGTACTTATTGCGTAATCAAATGACCACGGACGATTTTGCATGGGAACAACCTAGTCCGACTTTTTTTGGGTTGAGTCGCTTGATTCAGTATGTCATGTTCCTGCAATGCGGAGGGCAAGTTCGTCTGCCTCTTGGGCAGGGGGTAGCGGTGACGTCAGAACGCCGAGACCTGATTGGCTGATCCCCTTATCTGAGCGTCGTCTGCTCCTTTGCAACGTCGTCTGCTCGCAACGTCGTCTGCGTCTGTCTTACCTTTCCTGCGACTTTCGAAAGTCAAGCGAGCTCGACTTCGCCTTTTAGAGAGGGCAGACGAAATAACTCGAGCGGTACGTCGGAAATTCACCGCTTTTTCGCCGGCGAGAACGCGGCCTTCGAAAAAGATTTGTGCTTTACCTTTGTCCTTCTTGTTCCCCTTCTCCAGTGATTATTTTCGTCATTCTTGTCCAGCTCGCTTGCACCTATGCATTTAATTGCATTCTAACAATAATTACTTCTTGGTGTCAACGAGTCTACGACATAACTTCCGCGATACGTTCGACGCCGCTCGGGTAGCTGGATCGATTTTGCTCGGATTCTCTTCCAGTTTTCAAACTTTTGCCACTTGGGTTTACGCCACACATACATACCCCAATACACTAATTGACAACAGCTTTTTAGTCGAGCGAGAAAGTTGTAACACCAAGCAGCGCTCGAGCAATTTTGGGCTTTGATGTGCTCATAGTACCGATCGCACAGCCGCATTTGTTTATTTACAGCCACTACATCGGCTGTCATCTGTCTTCAGCTGATTATCTTAGAACAACTCATTAAACGCGAGGTACCATTCACGAAACTCGTGCAACTAAACGTTTTAACATAGCGATGAACATGGTGTTTACTTCTTATCTGAGCGAGCGACCTGCCGCGGCATGGTGCTCTTGGGGCGTTGCAGTCGCTGCAGTGGAAGGTCCGTCTTGGACAGTCCATTTAGAGCCGCGTAAAGCGCGGTAGCCACCGTGTGGTTGCACTTTGCAACCCCGCGAGGGCACTCACAGTGACTCTCTAAAATGTCACCTTTATCGGAGAGCGTCATTTTTACCGCGAAGCTACATTTCTTAAACGACGCCTGGACATTCGCAACTGTAGAGTGAAATCCTTCACCTCAAGAGAAAGGACGTACCTTTCAGGGTATTTCCTTTCGCTTTTTTCGAAGGCCGCGTTCTTGCCGGTTGCTCATTTGGCTCTCGTTTCCCCACCTGTCTATCTTACACCCTGAAGCAGACGAACTTGCCGTCCGCATAGAACCGCTCTTAGTCAACAACCGCTTGCGTCGGTCTCCACGATGAACGGAAGGTTCAAATTGGGCAGATTTAAACACGCGTGCGCGCGCGCGGGTAGCGAATGCCATTTCGGCCAATTTTTATTCCTAGTATTTGTGTCACTCTATATGTGCTACAAGCATCAACTGCCGGTTACGGTTGACTGTTGACGGTTACGGTTGACTCCTTTAGCGCAAAAAAAAAAAAAAAAAAAACTCGCCGGACATTCTTTTTCGGTTGAGTCGTTTGGTTCAGTTCTGGTAAGCTCTGTCATGTTCCTGCAATAGAACAGCTTCTAGTCAATAACCGCTTGCGTTGGTCTCCACGATGAAGGAACGGTTCAAGTCGGGCAGATTTAAACACGCGTGCGCGTGCGGGTAGCGAATTCTATTTCTGGCAGTTTTGCGTCCCAGTTTTTGTGTCACTCTATATGTGCTACAAGAATCAACTGCCAGCTACGGTTGACTGTCTCCGTGACGGATACTACAGAGAAGTCTGTCTGTGCCGTGCATCCAGTGCATTGCACTCATCCATCCACGAACACCTTAATAACAAAACAAGACGTTATCTGCAGTGAGCGTTGCGGCAAATCGAAGCGCGCGAACGTCTCAAGAAGACAGTTGCAGAGTTTTCTAGAGTATAGCCTGCGCAAAGGAAACAGTTCGACGCACTCCGTGAAGTGGTCGGTCATTACTAGCAAATATTGATTGCCGCGTGGACTATGGGGAAAGGGACTGACAGTGACACAGGCAGCACACTGCAGGGTTACTTGCTTTCGACCGACTGCATTAAATGTGATTGTTGGCCCCCTCGTGGTTTCGCCTTCTGACATATCGTGCAGCTACGTAGGTAAGTTATTGCATCCTGCCTCATGCCTGGCCACGTTGCACTTTGGGACAACGTTTCGTAAGTTTTGCTCCTACAGCTGTGGCCTGCCAGGGCCTAATCATGCATACATCTTATGAGTGACTTACTCAGTTTATGAGGCATTATAGTCCGGAATGGCGGGCCACAGGACCCATCGTCCGCATGGGGGATGTACCTCAGCAAGATGTCTTCGGTGCTCAGCAAGTATGAGCCCAAGTTTGAAATCCAGGCGTCGGCAGCGCTTTCTTCTGCCAACCGGTGTATCCCTTTCTTACAAAGTCTATCGCACAGCTAGACCGCCCGGAGCTCCTCCCTGCTCACGACGGTTCCCCACCGCCAATCCGGTGTGACGGGCGCTGCATTGGCCAGTGCGACCAAGTCGGGACCCACCTACATTTCCTGCCCGATACGTCTAGCACTGGACAACGCTTCTGCAGCGTGCTTAGTCACTCCACACTTGTACTCGATAGTGTATTTGTAGCGCTGCAGCGAAAGAGCACATCGAAAGAGCCGTCCTGCAGGGTTTTGAAGCCCTTTGAACCACGAAAGAGTCATGTGGTCAGTTTGTATGCGAAATGAAGCGCCGTCAACGTATATGTCAAGCATCTTCAGCGCAAAAATAATTGCCAGACACTCTTTTTCAGTTATTGAGTCGTTTCGTTTCAGCTCCGTTGAGCGCATGACTGGCGCAGGCTACGTGACGAAGAACGCTGTCATGTTCCTGCAATAGAACCGCCTTTAGTAAGTAACAGCTTGTGTTGCTCTGCAGTATGAACGGACGGCTCAAGTCGAACAGTTTAAACACGAGTTTTCAGTCACTGCTTCTGAAAGACATTCTCAAATGTGGTTTGTTGCTGTCGCTTCCAACACTATTTCGTGTTTTTTTGTTTTTGTGTTTTGTTCTGAAGCAACTGTTTTACAGGTTCCGTTATTTTGTCACATTGCGGAATGAAATATTTATATAACGTAATCATCCAGAGTTATTTTTTAGGCTTTTAATGTCGTGAGGGGATGAGTAGTTCGTTATTGCGCACAAGGCATCCTCATTTGGGCCCAGCGTGCCATTATCGAAAACAAAGCCAAGGTTGATTCTTGGCGAGGCTAACTGAACTTTATCTGCATGAATGGTAAGGACCGCCTGAAGCATTCGTTCGAGTATAATGCGAAGGTGCACGAGGTGCTCCTCGAATGTTCGTGAAAGCACAAGTAGGTCATCCATGCACGTCATCACCTACTCTTACTTCACGTCGCCGAGGACAACGTCCGTTATGCGCTGAGAGCTGGCGGTATAGTTGGACAAACCGAAGGGAATGCGAGTGAATTCAAACAACCCTCTGTGGCAAACGAATGCAGTCTTTTGTATATCAGCCGGAAGAACTTCTATTTAAAGAAATCCGCGGCTGGAATCGGGGGGTTGTGAAAACAGTTGCGTTTCCAAAGTCGTAGGGCGTAAATTACTGATAAAATACTGGGGAATAGGTAACTGCCTCTGACTGACACTTCCCTTTAGGCGCCTGCAATCAACACAAAGCCTGGTCCTTCATTTAGAGCAAGAGCTCGGGCGAAGCTCATGGGCTTTTTAATTCACATATTGCGCTTGTGTCGATCATTTCTGTGAGCGCCACACCAAGAAGTTGTCGCTTGCCAGCATGTATGGGTCTTGCATTGCACCTCCGAGGATGTGCATCCTTGGTTTCCATTCGGTGCCATAGGAGAGCAGTTTTCCGAAGTTATTTCGTGAACATCGACGAGAAGAAATCTGGCAGGTTCTGAAGGTGCTGCTTCTGGAAGCTGCTGCGGGACACCTTCCACCGCCTTGTTAACACTGTATGGGAGCAAAAAAAAAAAAAAAAAAAAAAAAAACCTGTTCAGAAAAGTTTAACGAAATTGCGTCTGCAGGAACGCAGTCCTTCCGTAAGGTAAATGGCGTGAGCACAGCATCGTTTCCCAAGCAAAATCTACCGTAATGCCATCAGCCACGACGAAATTTCTACATATGATTATTGGTACTGGTACTACCAGCAGATACACAAACCGTTGCGTTCGTTTCTTGCTGTGGAAGATTCGCAATCTCACAGATTCTGACGCTACCTGCAAGTTTACACTGATGTTCGGAACTTGGTATTTTTTTCTTTAGCAGACCTCGAATACCGAATCTCCAGTAAGTGATATGTTTGCACCAGTGTGGCAATTGGAGCGCCGACTACAGTAACTCTCATACGCGGCTCGTTCCGTTCTACGTTCCGCGGTAGCGAGGATTAATGTTTTTTCTGGCTCTGGTGCCATCTCAGTTTGGGTGGGGGGGGGGGGGGGGGGGGGGCATTGGAAGGGCCACTGGCTGATGGGCCATCCACAGCGGCCATCTTTGGTTTTGCGAAGTCCGCACCATCTATGCTCCTTGAAGTCGCGCCCGGGCCGCATCTTGCACCGTTCAACTTGTGAACAGCATTGTATTCAACGCAGAAGCAAACGCGCCGAACGCATCACGTTCATAAGGAAGTTTGGGGGGTAGATTGCAGGAGTGCCTTTCTTTTGATTATTGTCGAATAATGTCGAAATATTCCGGACAAAACCTGTTGTTAAGTGATTTTTCAACTGGTCCCTTTTCCTGATTTAATATGCCACTGGTGACACGGGATATCTCAAAGTAACGCTGAGTACATTACCAATCGTGGGTATTTGTGAGTACTTAGAAGTTTATCCCTCTGGGATTTGACAGTTTGATAAATTAAGGTGAATAAAGTGAAACATTTCATTGCTTTCTGCTTAGGTGGAAGTAAAGATGGAAGAACTTTCATTTGCGGCCTACGTAGCGTCGCACTTGGCCTTCAAGGTGGGTATTATTTTTGTAGACAGAGAAAAAAATGCCGACGGCCTTTTTTTAAAGATATCTATCGTAAACCCGAAACAAAAGAATAATATATGAAAACGAACAGAACAACGAAGCCTTATAGAAACTTTGTTGTTCTTTCCATTTTTATTATTTATTTTTCTCGGGTTTACTATTGACGCTTATTATTTTTGTACAGGCTATAACCAAATAAATTGTGTCACAAGCCACAGTAATATAGAGTTGGCTAAAGGAGCTCACAATGTTACACTACATTTTTCTTATCACCCTACAACAATAAGCTTCCTTTTATCCGTTGGTTGAATTGCGAAGGACCGGAATGTTAGAAGTCAGATTAAAAAGTAACAATGTGTCTGAGGTTATATCAAATCCCCCTACCTTCATGTAATAACCTTTCTTAACACCAATAATTTAGTCAACGTGCAATTTAATTAGCCTAGAGGCATAGTATACGACATGATCTTGTTTTTCATAACTAATCCTGGATTATATATGGCAAATAACTGCTGAAGTGGGTAAAGAATGTTTGGTGTCACCAAATATTTATTTGTTTTTGAAGCAGTGAAGTCATGGAGAGACACCTAAAGTGATATAAGTAATGATATATATTTTGTAAAGGGGAATTTCTGCAATAAAGTCTGCACTGATAGAAGTTTACTGTAATCATTTTCTCAATTCAGCCTTAGCATGTTTATCTTTATTTTCCGAGTGCGTTATTTTTCGCTTTTTTTTTTTTTAGAATGTCTTGAACACCCTGTTGCTTTATTTATGATTTTATTTAATGTCTTTCTCAGGCGTACAAGAGTGTTCTTAATGACACAAACGTTGAGTATACTCTCCCTATCCATAAGGCACTGACACCTGAGCAACTATTCTTCGCGACTTTTGGACAGGTATGAACATTTTAGAATCCATGGGAAATAGACATAGTTTAGCCAATTTAAGATATCCGTTCATTCTTAGTATGAATATGATGTACATTAAGAACGACCCACTCAATGGCCATATATTGCTTTCTTGCCTTTTACTTTTCCATGTTCAGTGGTATGATCATATATATAAAGCAATGTAGGTTTTTGTTGCGCAGTTCATGTGGTATGTTTTCCCTAGCTTTCCTTTCTAAAGAGACTTTGAAAGGTACTCGCACAAGAAACAAAACAAGTTGAATTTGATAGGTGCTCTAATGATATTAGAGAACAATCTTGCATATATTTTGTTGCTCATAGCTGGTTGCTGTTGAGTAGGTATATAATAAACTACAAGACTTAATATAAATTTTTCAAGTGTACCTTTTTTACAGTTCATTACGTTCAGAGTCGGGTTGGAAGGCCGCTAACGCCCTAAAAGTTTTAGCATGGCCCCTAACATGATGCCCGGTTTCAACTATAGAGGATGCAACCAGCAATCAGATTTCCTGTTTAATGGCTCGTTTTCTCCAAATTACGGCCATGTATTCACTTAGAAAACACCACCAGTCAGCACATGCCGACTTGAAAAGGTTTAGTCCCCCTCTCCCGGGACACCCTTTTCGGTTAAAGACAAAAATTTACATGAAAATGCGTCCAGTGTAGAAGCCCTCAATAGCGCTGCCAAGATTCAACGTCAAAAGTCTAAAGCACCGTTTTTTTTTTAGTTTGAGGCACGGCACATCTGTGGAAGGGTACTTGTGTAGTGATGTGCAAACAGTAAGGTAATTGTTTCCAAGTACCGTTGAAGGACGTTCTATCTTCTGCAAACCTATCAGTTAGCGGATGAAACCAACGGAACAAATGGCTTGTGGAATTTTTAGTGCAGCAACACTGCATTTCATTTGTCACAGCGGTACTGCAAAGGAGCTGGACATCGGTTTTCTGCGAAAGAAAGAGAAAAACGGTAAGAACGTTGTCACTGGCCTTGCATAAAGGCACGAATTACAAAAAAGGCTAACTTTATAAAAGCAACGCAGATCGAGTAAAAGGAGGCTAAGGATAATTTCAACGATATAATTTGCTGTTTCAGACATCAAGTATATGCCGTAGGGATTGCGTTTTCGTTTATAACTTAAAAGTTCTTCTACTGCAAGGTGCCCAAAAAGTCTCCATTCATGTGAAGCCTGTTCTTTCTTTAAACATAACGTGGTGCCACTAGTGTTGAATACGGAAGGAAATTTCCCGGCGCATTGCAGGCTACAGAACGTGAAAATTTACTCTCGGCATCATAGACGAATGCAAACCAATCTAGAAAGCTCGTCTGAGCTGAACTATTGTAATACTTTCTTTTTCTCGCCGCACTGTTTTAAAAGTTGTAAAGGTTTTTTTTTGTATTATACAGGTTAAACCTTCAAATGAAGCTTGATCCATTTTTTGCGGAAACGTATTCCTGTCCGAAATATAACGCCAAACTCAAACAACAGTGCAAAGAACAGCCCAAGGAACGAAAAGTAAGCCAGCGCATTTCCCATTGGCTCATTGTAATACTTAACTAATGTGAACCTTTATTTGCATTTTTTTTTTTTTTTGCAGCCCCCCAAGCCTCCAAAGAAAAATACACTGATGCTTGCCGCAGTAGGGGCCGTCGTTCAACTACTCTTGGCCAACAATATCAGCGATTTGGAGGGAACGAATATCCAAACTCTCGAAGCAGCTCTAATAAAACTGCCGTGATATATGCGCCATTATCGAGCTAATAGAGGCGAGAATAGCGCTTATCACTTATATCGGGAGCATTTTGGAGATTAGACACCTGGGGCCTTAAGCTGAACCGCGGGTCCATGGATCCGGGACATCGCAGCCTGACGGTATAGAGAGCATCGGCGGTGACGTCACGCGCGACGCTGACCAATCGCGGCGGGTGGCAATGTCCCCGCCCCTTGGTCTCGCCGTCCAGCTTACGGCTGGACGGCGGAACCTCTTTGTAAAAAATGCAGTAACTATTTCGGCGCCCAATGATTGGCGCTGGGGTGCTCGCGGATTTTTCAAAGGCGTTTGGCTCGGTAAATCATAAAATTGTGCTAGAAAAACTGAACTACGATGGCATTCATGAAGAGGCCTTATTGCTTTCAAAATTATATTTACCATATCGCATATAAGTGGTGCAGATAAACGAAATGCGCTCGAAGACTCAGCCTGTAATTTCTGGTGTGCCACAGGGTAGCATATTAGGGCCACCGCTCTTCAACGTTTATCTTAACGATATTGTTAATATTTCCCCTACAGTCATGATTTTCATATATGTGGATGATACTGTATATATTTTCTGGCAACGATGGTAATAAGATCATAGATAAATGTTATGCTACGATGAAAACACTAAACAATTGTCAGTCTCTAATTCTGTGTAGGTAATTCTGTGCAAGCACATTCCAACACACCATTACATAATCCTAAATTCATGTTGTAGGAGGAGGCATATTATTTCAATTGTCTAGGTGTTATATTTTTCCACGACGTGTTGGGGTAAAATCACGTTAACCACTTACTAACAAAAAAGAGCTCAAATTACCGGTGTACTTGAAGGCATTAGAAACCTCCTTTCCAGGAGAATTAAGTTGTTTTATAATTCATTTTTTCACTCACACTGTACTATTGCCATTTGGTGTTGGGGAAAACTACATTTTCAAACCTACCGCGCGTTAATTGAATACAAAATAAATATAGGGCAGATCTATAACGCGCCATATGAATCACCAAGTACAATGCTCTTTCATCGTTCCCGCGTGGTAAGAGCCTAGAACCTATATAGATTTCGTTTGAATGCCCGCTCTAGATAAGAAACCTAAAATGCTTTAAATAGTATACGTAGTGTGGCGTAATTGCAAAACAAAAACTTCATTTATTCTATAAGACATAAAAATAACTGGATTGTAGCTACAACTCGACTTGACTCCGGAAATGAGTCTCTTAATCATTGCCATCTCTAAGAGAGAGCGATCACCTTGTTCATTTTGATCTACACACTTGCAGCTGCACGAAACCTCGTGCAATGTACAACAGCATGAACATTTTATTTTTATGTGTGCTACTGAGATATGTTAAAAATAATTTCGTAGATTTTTCGGGTCCCCTTTTGTGTGTATGTTCAGCTTTCCAATAAATTTTTCTTAGTGCAGGCAAGAGTCACTGTTGTCAATCCCTTCTTGGTGTTTTTGTTGCTCCTGTCATGGGAAGTGCCCCGTATTATTGTATAATTTCTTGTATCTTTTATTTTACATTTCTCACCCCTGCTTTGTACTTGAGGGGGCTGAGGACCAGTCAAGTTGCTCGGACAGCCTTTTATCGTCAGCTGGCGTCATACTTCTATGGTAAATAAACTTTTATTATTATTAGTAGTAAAATAACTAAAATTATTCTGACGTCTATGACGTCACTTCTGTAACACGTAAAAATAGTATTTTTTTTTTACTTGCCCCGTCAAGCTAGCGGCTTTGTTATTATAACGTCTTTTGTCAAAATAGTTGCTTCGTTGTTTTGACGTCTCCTGCTAATGCGCTAATGGAGTCGTTTCATTCAATTTGATCATGGACGATGACGCCAGTGTTGTTTTGTTGACCGAGTTGTCTACGGGCTATGTCACATGCCTAAGAATCTTTAGTACTACTTGATACTGGGAATGTCACATTCTACGAGTGTGTGTATGTGTGCTCAACAGTTGACGATTCATTTCGAACTGACAGCGGCTTCGCCGGGCCGCGACCCTCCGCTCTCGCAAGGCTTTTCAGCATGCACCCTTTCAAAAACTGTTGAACCTTCAGTAAATGCGAACTGGATATCTCTTTATCTTTCCTTTGCACCTAAAAGACGTAAGGTACTCTACGTACCACTCAGTTTTGAATTATATTTGTTTCTCTGCGCCTCCATTACCTTGCAAGCGTGTCTTCGAACGGTTGCTAAGACTCGCCGGTCTCGCATGCATTTGATTCATGAGTTCCTTGTTTTATTTGGATTTTCTTTTCATTAATGTATGACGAGTGTGGGGTGATGGCTAAGCGATCGAGAATTTAAAGTTTCGACGATGCAAACATTGCCTCCTTGACGTTTTTGACCGGTGCAAACGAACAACAAAACTTCCGACGCATCAAGCAAACGCCCGCGTCGTGGTTCAACACACATTTTCTGATACAAATGTCATAGAATTAATTAATATTTTTTACACAAATTAAAAAAAAAAAAACAGCAACTCTGTTTTAGTTAAAAGCAATTAGCTCCAAACAATGCCCTCAAAAAAGTACAGCCGAACGTTTCGAAATGCTTTCCATTTCTTCGCCAGGGGTCACTAATAACACGGGGAAGCAGCAGCTTTTTCTTCGTTCTTCTTATTGCCCATTGAGATACTTTTTTTTCTCTCTTTTTCGTGTGTGTTTATTCGGCAGATTTGCTTGCCAGGTGGTGGAGGCCCTGGGCGTATACGGTGGGCAAGGCACCCAGGCGTCTGTTTGTATTCCATGGTTTCTGTTCTATGTGCCACGACTCGGGAAGAATCCTTTTCCGAATGTGTGGCTCCACGTCAAACACGCGCGTGTTTGCGAAGGTGATTCAACGGTCGAAGTCCCCGCAGTGTTCAGTGACGCCACTGGGCTCACATTTAAATTTTCGGACGTAGTTCCCATGCTGATGGAGTCACCTTGGAAAGATCTTCATTTCGTTGATACAGGAGGCAGAGCACTTTGCGCATGGAATGTGGTAGATTACGTCTTGAGCTTTGTCCTCTGGAAGCCGGTCGTTTGGTCGTTGCATGAATCGACCCAATGTGGACACTGGCGTGTGGGCTACTTGCATGCCCTCCTTCTTCAGCACACGCGCCAGCGCTTCGCTGGTCCCCTTTACGAAGGGGGTGCTGATGCGCGCGACGGAGCAAAACCGCGTCTCATCCCATGCCTTTTCTTTTTGGTGGGCGTGACCCTGATGACAGGTGACGCGATCAACAAAACTGCTGGGCCGTTTTTCTGAAGGTCAGCAATGATGGTCTGCCTCTTTTTTCTTCGATCGGCCTCTGATGAGCAGAGAGTTTTGCTCATCAGAGACCGATCGCGCTTCAGCCAGTGCGCTTCAGAAATCCACCTTTACTTGAACCGATTTTACACCGAGATTGAAACGAACTTGAAGTGCCCAGATTTCAAAACTGGCTTGGACTTACCGAGAATGTGACTTCCTAGTTATTTCAATATGGCGGCTTACCTATCTGAGGTCGCAAATGGGAACGCCGCGTTCAATATTGGTCTCCCAAAATTGCGGGGTTCTCTTCGGCGATGTGTATTTCTTGCGAAAAGAAGCGACCACTTCTCCGTGATCGAATGCATCCCATTGGGATGTACGACACGGATTGGCAACGGCGCGGTAGCTGCTTGGCCGTGGCTTGACCGCTTGATCCAATCGGCGACGAAAGGAGACTCTCGCAGAGACCCAAGCTGCAGCTGCTCGTCACGCTACGGCTTTCGGTGGCAGGTTGTTTCTAGCTGTCGACATTTTGCAAAATGACGGGGTGCCGTGCAACTACGGCTTCCCCTTTTTATCGAGTGATTACAGACATAGCATGCGGATCTAGCCAGTCACCTCTTTTGCGACTTCCGCTTCCGCCTGAAGCTACGTTGACCAGTCCGGTCGGTTCATTTGCCGTTCTCTGACCGGTTGGCTGCCCTCACCTTCTCTCTGTTGGCCTGTCTCCCGCCACAAGACCTTTAAGTATTCGCTTAATCAAATCCAGTACTGAGTGGCTGTCCACTTGGTTCCTCTCCCCCGTGTCGCCACTGCTTCCGAAACCGAGTGCAACAAGCACACCATCGTCAGGGGGCCCGGTACGAAGCTCGGGCTCTGCAACACTAGATGCTCCGTCGTCAATGTCCCGTCCACAGAGCGTGCACACTTCGTCCAGTCCCTACGTGAACCTGGCCCACCACACCCGGGCACGCAAAGTCCCCATGAGTGCCTACATGAGGATCCCGCTGCCTGCCGAGTTGTCATACCACGGCACTTTCTCTATGGTAAAGTTCTCTGCTAGGTAAACTCCAAGTGAAGGTTTGGTCGACGCACTTGCCCTCGAGTTTTCCGTCTCCTCCGCACAGATGCCCCCCCGGAGTGCCCTGGGGCCCACCTCGCTCTCGCCGCCGCCTCCAGCCAGATCGTGCCAAAACCTTAGCGGTCTCGCAGTCCTCGCACCCGGTTGATGCCTTTTCCCGACTGTTCCAGTGTTTTCTCCAATTGTACCACATTCGTCCATAAAGAAAATAGAAGGAAGTGGGCACCCCTTCCCCAATCCCCTGGGCATTGGCAGTTGCCTTGTCTTGTGGCCATATTATTAGATATGTTCAGAGGCCTATGTGAACAGAGCCTGCAGCAGTTCCACATCCGCGCTATTTAGTCCCAACCCCTAAAGACCTTTCCATAGTTCGTCCAGGTCTACCGTGTCATACACCTTAGAAACGTTTGGAAATGTTAGAAATTTTAGAAACGTGCCATACGCCTTAGAAACGTAAAGAGCTATTGCCTCCCGTTTCGCCACTTGGAGGCACTGCGTGACCACAAAGATGTAAAACTCACTTTACATCTGTAAACGCATTCAAGTATCTTGGTGTTGACATCACGTCTAACCTATCATAAAAAACTCATTCCAATTTTATAACCAGTAACGCTAAGGCAATGCTTTCATACTTAAAAGGAAACGTTTCTTT